AGTAGTACTTCCGATCGAAAACGCGTTCAATATGTTCGATTAACACTTTATGAAATTGGTCCTGACTGTGAATGAGTGCTTAAATTTTGAACACTTTTAATATTTCCATCGGACGAACTCAAGTCGAGAATAGTCTGGCATCTTGAGGAAGTCTAGAAGTATGCTTAACTGACACGCAAGTCATTTAAACAAAATCATCGAAAAGTAACGACGCCTTCTATAATGAGTGCATCTGGACGGCCTTATTATAGAAGCCGATTTATCAAGCTGTTCGCTAACAAGGGAAGCAGATTCTTTTATTTTTTTACCTTTTGAGGAGTTATAAGTGCATAGTTGAAATCAACCTGAAAGCTCAAATCACCGATGCCTTTTAACGAAACTTGACGATTCTTACATTTCAACATCTTCTGCAAAACCGATTTTTGCTCACGCAATTTTCAGTAACTTCGCGAAAAATATCACAGTTTATTTTATTACTCCCGCCTGAGCTACGGGCAGATTTTCACAATTATTGTTTCTAGAGCACTGTAGAATGCTGTATTTTTTTCGCTTTTTCTGATAAAGCATGTTATGCCACGCAAGTTTAAGTTCACCATTGGTTTGAAGTCTAAAAATAATCATGCTCAGAATTTTTATCGCCTTTTAAATGTCGTATGTGACATTTCAAATTTCGGCTCTAAGTCAAATTCCTTTGTTATCAATTCGCTTTCAACTACGAAAGGTATATGTCTACAGTCCATGTGGTTTAAAAAACACCCACTTCTTTTTATATTTCTAAAGACCTCTGAACATTCAATTGTCCTGGCGCCCTCTCCCCTCGTTTTTGTAGGCAACTGCATGGGAATGCTGACTACTTACTATTTAAAAGTAGGATTAATTTTTGATAGTGCCTGTTACGACCGAAGAAAATGAATTGTCATTTGCATTTTAGGCATCTCCATTTGCCCGCTTGGACGTGAATGCCAAATTCGTTATTCATTCATTCTCTCGCAAACTCGTCCTCAACAGTTTTCGTAAATTCAGAAGAGTATTTGGTGTGCATACGCATACGTACCCACAGTAGGCGCGGTGGTTTTTTTCTCTCTCCATCATATTCTTTACGATGAATATGTCCGGATATCCGTTTTCTTGAAGCAGGTCCTGTAGTTTCTGGAGCTCTATTTCAATAACGTTTGCCGAGCAGATTTTTCTGGTTCTTTGCGTTTAACAGCGGACTTAGTTACGCTTCTGTTGAAGAGGTGAACATCTGTTAAAGTTTTTATACTGTCCGTACCAAGTTATCTTTCGATAAATGCTCCTTCGGATGCTACCGCCAGGTCTTCGGCATAAGAGGACATCCAAGAAGGGATGCGGACCTGCCGTCTCCAACTCCAAGGTGAACTTAATTGGGGGAGGTATGCTTGATTTACAGTACTGGAAAGATCAGTTACATCGGTTTCTGCTGGGCCAATAGCGAAGATTTCATCAACGTGTCGACCGTAGTGTTTTAACTCATGGATCTGCTCGCTGAGTTGAAACTTCTCCAGCTTGCCCATGAAGATGTTAGCAAACAGAGGCCCGATAGGTGAGCCCATAGCGGCACCGTCTATTTGTCTTTATAGTTGGTTGTCAAAAAGAAACTGCACATTTAATAGGCATTTTAGTAATAGTTCCTCTAATGCAGCAGTTGGTATTCCTGCCTATATCTGATTGGCCACTTAGAATTCGCAGCTACGTTGACTGTCTCTGTGACTAGGACGTTTGTAAACAGCGATGAGAGGTCTAGGGAGAGCAGCATCATGCCGTTTAGGTTCATGTCTTTGACGCCGTCGATAAATTAGAATGTATCTTGATAGCTATGTGGTGCCAGCTACTGCTGCAAGGGTTTGAGCTTTTCTGCCAACTACTTCGCTATCGCATGATATGGCGAGTTTCGCATGTCCAAAATCGGACGGTCTGGCAGGCCGTCCTTATGGATCTTATATTAATCTTTACTCCTCCCCATATAAATGTAATGGCCCGAGGAAAATTTATCGAAGGCTACGTATGCTCACCAAATATTCTTCTGAGTTTCCGTAAAGTCAAATTAGCCGGAGGATTTAGATATTCCTGAAGGACTGCGGCAGGGCAACTTGGTCGCCGCTGACTGAAGTCACTACTCATCCACAAGATGCATTATTTTACTGGTCCTTTAAGCCTCTTTTCAGAACACACGTTTTCGCAGGAAGATACAACCAACTCGCAGAATTCTTGACAAATAGCAACCGTATTAAGGTTTAAAAAATGGAAATGTCTGCTTTAAATGTATTTTCTAGTCCCATACCTTAAGCTTCGTCTTTGGGATTAGTTGATTTTAATTTTGATTGGTGCTTGCGGTAGAGATTTTATCGGTGGCCTAGTTCTACACTTTTTGAAAGTCTTGATCGTCAGAATGACAAACACGTCTTGGTGCCATGGCTCAGTGACCGTTAATAGGGCGGACAGTCAGGCTCAGCTGTTTATAAAACGGATTCATTGACTATTTAAATGAAGTAATAATGTCAAACATCCTCTAATATTCTTGCTGGAAGACATCTGAGGCAATAACTGGGCCAGGAATAGCATTGGTCTTTCGTCTAAAACTCTCACTATAATCCACCAACGTATATCTATAGCTGTCTCTACTGTTGGGTTTGCGTTATCATCTGCAACCTCAAATAAACCAACTTACCATCCTTCCGAACCTATATACGGGGAGAGTACAATACAACGACAATTATCTGTTTAATTATTTTTCTTTGTAAGAAAGAATCATAAATAAATAAGTCCCTAGCAGACTACTGTCCTTCAGATTATATGCGCTTGTCTTAAGAGGTTATCGCAGGGGGTTAAGTAAGTTAAATCCTAGCAACTGCGATCCTCAGACCATGGTTACTTAGTAGAGGAGATGTCAGTGGAGGTCAGAAAAGTAGGAATAATTTATTGTGTACACAAAAGAACGAAGAATAGATGGAAAGAGTTTAAACCTCGGGGCACACGTCATTCTGCTGGAGCGCCGTGGCCCTAAGTGATGTCTGGCGGCCGAGGGTGGGGAAAAAGGGACATGTTCGAGTGGTGCTTGGGCAGCCGCACAAACCTAGATGCGAATGTGTGTGTCCGAGTGGAAGTAGGTCAAGTCTCTGCAGGTCCGCGCGTCTGTAAGCGCTGACTGAGGTATTGGATGACCTTGAGGCAGCTGGCCTTGAACAATGACGCCGGACAAAGCAATGGAGGGCGTCGGCTGATAAAAACACGCTTTATATTCCTCGGAAGCAATTTTTTCAAGTGCTTCCACCGATTACTACTTAATCTCTTCTACCTTCTGAAACCGTTTTCCCTTAACGTGTTTTTTTCATTCTTGAGAAGGGGGGTAGTTCGGGCGAGTAAGGTGTGTGAGGAACCGTTGTCATGCCGCCTTTTTCCAAAAAAGTGGATTTTTACCGCTGCGTTGGCAAGCGCGTTGTCACGAGGAAGCACCCAGCCCTCCTCCCTTTTGCCTTATTTTAAGTTAGTTTTTCACAGTGCCTTAAGCAATCGCTTGGCCACTTTCACATCTTAATGTTGGTTCACCATGGTGACTTGAGGAACAAATTCGACGCGAACGACTTCTCTGTTGTCATAGAAAACACCATGGAATTTTGCCATCGAAATATCTCTGAGAGCCTTTGCAGGAGCCTTGATAAAACGACAACTCTGTCCTCCGTGATACTTTCCCGCGAACACTGCTTCACCAACTGAGCAGAGAGAGTATCTAGCGAACGAACGTAGCGGGAAAGTACCATTTTCAACCAAACTACCTACAGAAACTAATTCTAGTTTTCTGCGTATCCTTTCAATTAACACCTGAATCTCTCCTTGTCGCCTGTATCGAGGCTGGGTGTCACCATCATCATTATTGATTACTCAGGCGTCATTCCTATAGAGAAGGGCCACTAAACCGCGAAGAGCTACTCAGTATCGTCTAGACAGTCCAGCATATCAAAGTTATCATTAACTTTGGTGGTAAGAGCCACGTGAATACGTGAGGATCGGGATTTTGTTGGATCAGTCTACTCCTACCGTCGACTGACACACTGTCAAAGTTAAAGAATTCGAGCGCTTTATGCGATGCGTCTTTTTTGATTATATACAATGTGTCATCAGATTGATATAAGAAGCTCTTGGTGAGAGCATTCAGAAGCCTGCAGTTGACTTTTGGATAGCGATGCATGAGAGCGTGACTATAAGCGAACTCCCTATCAATCAAGTGGATGCTAATCCGTCAACAGTAGCTTATGTAGGCCCACTCATTAATCCCTACTCCTGGCATGCTTCCCTACGAAAACGGTGGTTATAGGGTTTTATGGGTGGGAAATAAGGACACGCAATGGAACATACTTTAATAAATGCTAAATGCATTTTTATTTTACTGTATTTAGA